CCGCCCTCACACACTCACCCCCACATCCCTCACCTCTCTCATCTCCCATACCTGCCTGAGCATCAGCACTGTTGTGTGCACACCTCCATAAGCTCTTGCCTCTCTGCACACCTGGGCACTTGTTGGAGACATCTTGACAGAACATTCTCGGGAGACCCCCCCAGGACCCTCCCAGGCCTCGGACCCTGGCCGGGGAGGAGGCTGGATCCGTCCTGACTCTGGAGGGGTCAAGTTGGTCACCTGGACGAGTTGAGATCCCCTGCAGCTGGCATGCCGCAGTGTGGGTGGACCCCATCCTGGCAGGCCCAGGAGGGGTCAGATGACAAGAAGGGTCATTTCCCAGGCCGCTTTGCTCCCAGACACGGGTGCTGCCACGGCTGGTGATGATCTAAGAGGCTCACCGTGTGCAGGAAGTGGTCGGTTTCCAGCACAGACTCTCCTGCTGTTCCACCAGCCCCGTGTTGGGGGCTGACCCTGCCCCCACGCCTGACCCCACCCTGCTGTGAGAGGCTGGGGCGTCCTGTGCTGTGTCCCTGTGGGCGTAGGAGCCCAGTGTTGCCAACCTGTGGCCTCCTGTGCCCTGTCAAGGAGTGACATTGTCCCCAGCGTGTCAGCGGTGCGTGGTCGGGTTAGCCTCCTGAGTGGCGAGCCTGACCTCTCGACGCAGGGCCAGTGGCTGGGGGAATGTCTACACGGGGTGTTCAGCAGAGCTCAGTGGGAGCAGGGCCTTGGGAGGCCTTGTCTGGGGGTGCTGACGCCGGTGTTGTCCTGCAGAGAGTGTCGGCAGGACATGATCGGGCTCTCGGACTTCTTCGTGGCCAAGAGGAAGATGTAGGCTGGCTGGAAGGAGCAGCTGCACTCAGGAGTACGTTTTGAAGTGGGAGCACCCCGTGTAAATACAGCTTGTCCCCAGCCCCCCGTGTCGTGTGGTTTCTGCCCAGGAGGCCTCGGGGAGCAGCACTCACAGACCCCTCGCCACGGGGGAGCCGCGTCACCGGGGGTGGGCTCTTCTTGGTCTCTGCTTGGACTGGGACCCTGCGGACGTGGACCCTCTGGGTCTCCAGTCCTTCCACCTGCTGACACTGGACCGTGGCAGCAGAGGACAGCCGAGGGCCTACACACAGGACAGGCCGTGGAGACAGGAAGACCCAACTAGCCCCCACTAACAAAACCCAAGCAGCAGTGGCCATGCGGGCCTACAGAAGGCTGCATCTTTTCTACAGAGCAGCGCCACTGGCCTCTCTGAGCGGCAGGAGTGTCCCCCAGCCTGACGCAGGACATCCTGCCTAGCTGCACCATCTCCGAAAGACCAGGCAATGTCCAGACGCTCTGACATCTGGGGGCCAGCATGGGGTCTAAGTGGCCTTTCAGGATCGGGCTTGTAAAAAGCATTTATGATTGTACAATGCTTTAAACCTCTGCTTTCCACAGCAATCTCAGATGTGGGGCCGTGGGAGATAGGTCCCGAGCACAAAACAGACCCCCTAGAACCAGGGTGTCTCCAGGCCCCTTGGGCCCACAGCTCGTAAATGCAGGCCGCTGTCCAGTTCACACTGACCTGGAGAGACAGCACACCGGGGTGTCCGCCTCTGTCAGCCCCGGGACTCGTGGGTACACGGGACTGCAGGCCACACTCAGTGAACTGGCCTGGAAGACTGGTCCCTGAAGCTCCATGCCAGGGAGAGGGGCAGTGAGGCAGGGCTCGCAGGACACCAGGTCCTCTCCAGAAGAGGCAGTGGTCAGCACAGCTAATGGGGAAAGTCTGTCTGGTGGCTTCAGGGAAGGACACGTAGTTCTTACCCCCAGCTCTGTGGAGAAGGGTGAGCCCTCTCCTGTCTCCTGCTTCTGAAAACCTCTGAGGGTCAGCTGTGGGCCTGTTCCTGTTTGGTGGTACTCAGCTGCTCAGCATTTAAATGTCAATGTGTGCAATCACCAAAGGGAACACTTAGGATTGCTGTGTGTTGGATTTTACCTGTGTATTGTTCTTTTCAAACCTGTCTGGAGGGCTGTACATGGGTTTTATTTTTGTATTTTTCTTTTAAAGCTTGTCTGGAGTGCTATGCATTGGATCTTACCTGTGTGTTTTTCTTTTAAGAGCCTGTCTGGATTGCTGTGTGTTGGATTTTACCTGTGTATTTTTCCTCTCAAGCCGGTCTGTGTAGAGAAGCATCGTCGTGTCTGTCAAGGCGTCTTAATCCATCATCTCACCCAGCGTGTCCACAGCGGAGGCACCATCACAGCAACAACCTTCCCCAACCCAGTGTGGAGGGGAGGGGAGGGCACGTCAAACCGTCTGTCCGCCCACCGATCCAGCCTTCTGTTAGTTATCTGTCTGTCTGCCCACCTATCCTGTCTGTCCACACATCCGTCCATGTGTTCGTCCATCGTCTAGACACACATGTCCACTCGTAGTCTACTCACTCTGTTATTCATCCAATCCACACATCCCTCCGTCTCTCCATTCCCCACCCATCCCCCCTCCATCTATTTATTTACACATCTGTCCACCCCTCCATCTGTTTATTTACACATCTGTCCACCCCCCATCTGTTTATTTACACATCTGTCCACCCCATCTATTTATTTACACATCTGTCCACCCATCCATCTGTTTATTTACACATCTGTCCACCCCTCCATCTATTTACACATCTGTCCACCCCCATCTGTTTATTTACACATCTGTCCACCCCCCATCTGTTTATTTACACATCTGTCCACCCCCATCTGTTTATTAACACATCTGTCCACCCCATCTGTTTATTTACACATCTGTCCACCCCCATCTGTTTATTTACACATCTGTCCACCCCTCCATCTATTTACACATCTGTCCACCCC